TCAACAACCGAAGCCAGTAATTTTGACTTGGATGAAGAATGTACTTGCAAACTAGACCTATGTGACATCACTAAAGAAGAAAGTTTGATCTTAGACTTAATCGATAGGTTAGAAGGTCCATCAGAGAAAGGAGAACTTCTAGAAAAGTATTTATATTTAGCTAGAAAAAGGGGAAAACCAAAGCTTAACAAGAAACTGCCAGTCGAAGCTTATAGCTTCAAAACAATTGTTGATAGGATAGCTTAAAAAACAGCTTGTAAAGAACCCACAATATCTGAAATACAACATGAAATTAATGCTACGAAAGATGAAATCAAGGGATTAAAACATAAGGTTCAAGTTCTAAAACTCTTATCATTTCTTGCATGAAGATGAGGTTTGGAGTTTTAAGATAGTAAAATTAAAACTGAAGGCGACTTTCAACATTTAATGGATAACTTTGTAAAAAAGAAGAAGAATAAGCTACCAGAGCATCAACTAGTCATGGAACTAGCTGATCCTAACAGCAGCATCTCCATCCTAAAGTATGTTACTAGCATGGATAAGGTAATTTCTCTAAAGTGGTATTCTGTAATTACCTTCGTTATTTACAAAAGTTTCAGGTTTTCAATAGAAATACTCGTTAACTTTAGAGCAGACCTAAATTGTATAAATAAAGGAGTTGTACCAACAAAGTACTTCTCAAAAACTTCTCAAGACCTGCAAATTGCAACTGACCAACTTATGAAAATTCAGTATAAGGTGTCGGGAGCCGCCTTAATTCAAGACAAGGTTTGTTTTGAAACCCCTTTTGTATGGTTAAAGGACGAGGCCATGCTGTGATTTTAGGTACTCCCTTTATCAATATGCTTGACCCATTTAAAGTTTTTGAAGAAGGTATTGAACCTGAAGTTGAAGGAACAAAGATAAAATTCACTTTCTCAAGGGAACCCCAAATACAATATGTAAATACCAGTGCAAAAGAATATTCAAAAAAAAAAAATCTTTGTTCTTTAAAAGAAGAAATGTATTTTAAAAGGACTGCATAACAACTCACCACAAAATTAGTAAAAGAAAAAATTGAGTCCATTTAAAAGGAATGTGAAAAACAAGTTTGTGCTGAAATTTCTAGTGCCTTTTGGGATCATAGAAGGCATATTGTTGAATTATCATATGAGCCTGATTTTGATGAAAAGAAAATCACCACTAAGGCTCGACCAATTTAGATAGAATAGCAGACTGATGGAGATATGGAAAACGGAGATTAACAAACTTCTTGGAAAGAAGTTATCTCGAAAGAGCTATTTTCCTTGGAGCTGCTCAGCATTCTACATAGAAAATGCCACTGAACTCGAACGAGGAGCACCCAGATTAGTCATTAATTATAAACCTTTAAATAAAGCTCTCAAATGGATTAGGTATCCTATTCCAAATAAGAAAAATTTATTAGATAGGCTGACTCAAGCCATAATATGTCTAAATTTGACATTGTGGATGCAAATTTCTTCTTCCTTGTTCTTGGACAAAATTGCACCTACAAAACAAATAACACCTTAGGTCAAGGCCAATAGCCTCACTCACCCACGATGAATGGGAGCTTCGGCTGAAGAACCTCCGATGCTAAAGTTAGAATTTTGAGGGAAAAATGTTTGGAGAATTTAGAGAATTTAGCAAGAGAATTGGAATTGAGTTTTGGAGAGAATAAGGCAGTATTTATAGGGGTGTGGCTGGCCCCTTTAGGAGGAAGAGGACTGGCCACTTGGTTGGTATTTTGGGTGAGGTTCATGATTTGTAGCTAATTAGGAATAATGGAATAAAAAATCAATTAATTAGCTAATTAATATAATTAAAAATGAATGATTTGTGGGTTACCTTGTGGAGAGGATTTGATGAGGATGGATAAAATAGGTTTAAAAATAAACGCCTATATACCTATGTGGACATTTTTGACTTGATTGAAGGATGATAGTCCACTGCTCGTGCGTAGGAATTCAAGTTAGTCTCGAGGATAATTTTGTCATTTTCACACAAAAATCCACGTGTCGCTATTTTTTGCTTCACAAATGTCCCCAACATGTTGGCCTGCTTGTAGGAAATTACAGCAGGTGTAGAAATCTTCTTGCTTTAGGAAACGTAGGATTGTTTCCTATCTTGATGTTGATTCCCTCTTTAATTGGAAATTAGATCCTTCTAGGAAAGGAAATATATTTATCTCAAAGCCTATTTAAGTCCACCTTAAGTGGATTATTAAATAAATTTTGGAGAGCGATTTATTCTACCTTATAAGAGAGAAAGAGCTTAGAAGATATTAGTTACCCATCCTCTAGCAATCTTCTACATCTTTCCCATGCAAATGATCGTCTTTTGTTGCTTGCTTCGTCTTCTCCGCACTGCACCGAGGTAAGAAAATTTAATTTTTCTTGTCTTCTTCTTGGATAGTGTTGTCACGGGGCAACCATTAGGGTGGTACGACACGTCGGTTGGCAGGGGCCAAGAGTCGGCTCGGCATGGGTTGAGGATATGTTGTAGCAGGGACCACTGCTTGGGCTACTTGGCTTGGTTAGAGCCAAGGGCAGCTTATGCGATTGGGGATGTAGATTGAGGCACTGAGACGAGCTACATGGCTCATGTCCTTTGGGCTCTTAGACCTGACGAGGGCCAGGCCGACGATTGAGAGAAATGAGGAGGTCGTGGGCTTTATGGGCTACTAGAATGCTGGGCATGTAGGCCTCCTGCCTACTGGTCCAAGAGAAAAAATGAAGGGAAAACTAGTATATGTTGAGCTCCCCTGCTCAGTACCATGAATGACGTTGGTTGCTTAGTTCTCTTCGTCGGAAGAAAGGTGGGCTGCTCCCGAGAAATGAGGTAAAGAAGATCAAGGTGGATAAATTGGCTCGTCTGATCGTTGTTGTAAAGCCTACTATGAACGAAGGTGGAAAGAAGAGATCTTCCTCACTTGCTGTAGAGATGCCGGTTGAAAACAAACTGAAGACTTCGTCCACTGCTCATGAAGGTCCGCCTGTTACCGAGAGGTCGGTAATTGATATGATTTCTTCCGATGGGAAGAAAAATAAGGTTACTAGATCTGAGCCTATAGTGCCTGCCATGTCGAGAATGGCTAGTACGATTGCTGATAGGATTAGTTAGCGTAGAGGTCCTGTCATGCCCCCAATGTCGAAGTCTGTACTAAGATGTCTATTAGGAGTTAAGTCCGGTTCACCTTTGGAGAAACTTGTTATTATGAAGAGTGATAAGGTGGACTTTGCTACTAAAGTGGCGCTAAGGCTCACTCATTCTGCTGCTAAGATTGATTCGCCTGCTGGGAATGATGAGACTGCTCACGTGGGCAGCTGTGAGGAATCCACTAAGCCTGCTTCGAGGGAGGCTGCTGAGATTTGTGCATTTTTGAAACCAGATCTACTTGAAGACATAAATGCTTATTTCTCTATTTCTCTGGAAGGCTTGCTTGCCTTTACTTTTGAGGTTTCTATTGGTAATGTATTCGGAGAGATTGGTGCCCAGAATAGAGCAACCGAGGGTGAAGTGCCAGATGGTGCCGCTGCTGAAGGTGTAGCGACCGAGTAGTCGTGGAGTGTCCAAGTTGCTAAAAGTAGTCTTCTAGGTACCTTTAGACTTTATAGACCAGTGGCAGACAGACCACATAGCCTAAGCAACCGTAGGTGTTGGTGTAGAACTTTGCAAAGTTATTAGTCATAGGGTCGGCAACCAGACGCCTTACTTATAGAAGCAGACAAGTATGCGTGACCACTAGGCTGTCTCCAATTCCGTAAGTTGTGTAGCAAGTATCATAACACTTTAGGACTTGGTGTAGGTCGTTCCACGCTTGGTAAAAGTGAAGCTTATCAACTACGTAGCATGTTGGCAGTGAATAAGGCTTCATATATGCACGTTAACTTGTTTAACCTTTCATCAGAATGTGTGGTTGTATAAGTTTAGTGTGGCTTTACTGCTCGAAGGGCAAGTCGTAGACAGTCTTCTAGAAACTGTAGGCTATCTTAGTGTACTTGGTAGTAGCTTTAAGGTTCCAGGGCAGCCATCTATCAAGCGTACTGTGTGATGTTCCCCCTCCGTCTGTGGGGCCCGGTTCTCAGCAGATTAAGCCAAGAGACCCAAAATCTTTCAGCTAGCTAAGCGTTGAAAAAGGTCATTATGGCTACTTCTAGGAATCCCAGCACAAGGCATCGTGCACCTATTTATACCAAGGCAGCCCGTCTCATTCACGTTTAGATATTCGGAATGTAGGCTTATCTTTCCACCTTAGATAGCAGACCCATGTAGGTGTCGGGGAATTGGTTTACCCTTTCGTACTAGAGAGCAATTAGTTTATCCTCTCGCACTGGAGAGCAGACCCATGGTGGGTGTCAGGGAATTAGCTTACATTCTTGCATTAGAGAGCAATTAGTTTATCCTCTCGCACTAGAGAGCAGACCTATATGGTTGTTGAGGAATTGGTTTACCCTATCACACTAGAGAGCATGGTTGGTTCCCCCAATGGTGTAATTCATGCGATAAGTCCCTATGAAGGGTGTTGTCTTTTTTTGAAGTAAAGGAGTAATCAGTTGTTGTAAGCATGCAGCCGAGCCAATTTGCATATTACTTCTGAATTCCTCATTGAAGAATGAGTGAAACGACGAAAACTTAGCTGTAAAGTAGGAACTGCATAACAACTGGATAATCTTCGGCTTGTGAGGTGGTGGCTGTCAAGCTACTTGAGTCTTTGGGCTTTGATGTAGTAGAGTACTTCCTCAGATTGTAAGCGTTTTACTGTTTTTCGATCTCTTTGTCGTTCATGGTAGAGAAGGTGTAATTTCCTTTGCCGCCTACTCTACTAATCTTGTACAAACCTTCCCAAATGGGATCATCCTTTTTGAGCCTTCTCTGTTGGCAGTGATGAAGGTTATCCTTAGGACTAAATCTTCGAGCTGGAATTGCCGGATCTTAGCCCTTTTGTTGTAGCTAGAGATGAGTTGTTGCTGGTAAGCTGCGATGCTGGTGATGGTCTACTCGCGTTTATCCTCTGGCAGATCTAAGCTTGTGGCCATCTCCTTAATGTTCTGTTCGATGCTTGGCAATTAAGTACTGATACTTGGCATAATGACACTGAGAGGAATGATCGCTTCTGAACCAATTGTCAAAGAGAAAGGAGTCTCACCGGTGGCTTGTCGTTTGGTAGTGTGATACGCCCTCAGATATCCAGGGAGTTCATCTAGCCATTTTCCCTTTTTGTTGGAGAGGGACTTCTTGAGGCAGTCGAAGATCGTCTTATGGAATGCTTTAGCCTGCCCATTGCCTTGAGGATATCTCAGTGCAGACATTGTTGGAAATGTGCCCTAAAACCAATCATATGATGATACTTTATGGACATTTCACATGTTAAACTAATCTAGTTTAATATTAAGGGTAAACATTATTGTTTGAGCCGTCTCATATAAATGTTATATGCTTAAATGATAAGTCCAAGGAATATGTGATTGGAAGAATGTGATCTAAAGAAGTTAGATTTATGAGACCATTCTTTCGTTGACACATCCTAAACGTTCCTGATCATAGGATTGTCAATTGGGCATTGACAGTCCGTTAAGATCAGTACGTGCTATGTCTTCTCTCAGGGAGAGTGACTAGTCTCGAGTCATTGGTGTGTGTGACATCAAGACAAGTACGTAGGTGCTCAATAGAGAATGAGTTCACTGAACACGATCAACGAAGAGTTCTCATATTCATGTCACATGAGAACTCATGGTTGGGATAATGCAAATTAGTCTTTTGACCTGAGGCATCACAGTTGTCTTGTGGTTAGGTCCTTAATCTTTGATTATGTCAAAGACACTCCATCAGGAGGGTGTCCATGGAATCGTTGGGGTTAAGCCACTTAGCCATGGAGGCAAGTGAATGCGCAACAAGGGATCTCTAACCTTCAAACTGTTTGAGGGAGAATACTCTATGATATGATTAAGAATCTTTGGCCAAAGTATGAATGAGATTTAGGAATGTGTTCCAAATCACATTCAAGGTAATCATATAAGCACAAGACTCACATTGGATAGTAGACATGAATACACTATCAAACCAAACAATGTGGTTAAGAGTATTGTATTAGAGAAAGACCGTATTGCATTTGTAATCCTAAAACTGAATAGGTTCTCCACCTCTTCTGATTAGCTTGGGTAACCATGACATGCTGCTAGGCGTCAACCATGGTTTGTGGAAGCCCTAAAAGTGTATTATCACTAACGGGAGAATTGAAAGTAAGTTTCAATTCACAATCGATTAGAAAGAGTTTTAATCGCCCACTGCCTCGCTAAAAGGAACCTAATGGATCGTTCACCGAGTAAGGTAGCGTTTGAAGAAACAACGGAGATGACTAAGAATAATTAAATGGTTTAATTATTTATCTAAGGCTAGGATTAATTAATATGTTAATTAATCAAACGAATAAGTTCGTTAAAGACCTCGGGTTAGTTTTGGGCCGCAAGGCCCAATGGGATTTGAATGTCAAGCCCATTAACTCAAGTTGTATGACAACTTGAATAAACAAAGGGCTTGAAAGCCCAATAAACCCTATAGGCTTGCCATGTTAGAAGAATAGGGCTTTTGGTCCATTAGGTCACTTATTTGAAGGGACTATATAAAGGACTTTATAGCCTAAAATTTACATATGGTAATTTTTGGGGAAAGGATGAGAACACAAGCTCTCCTTTCTCTCTAAAATTTAGGCCACCTTGGAGGGATCATCTAGCAATCAAACTCCTCCAAGGTCACTCATTTCTTCTTCATTATGCCTTAGTGATGAATCATTAGAGGTTCTCAATTTTGGGAACTTTGGAGAAACTTTTTCATCCATCCAAATCCATGGATCTAAGATGCAAGGAATGAAGGCCCTCTCTTTGGGTGATTAGCCTTTGCTTATGCAAAGAGGAATCTACAAAGGTATTGATTTCTCAACTCACTTTGTTTTGAGTTGAGTCTTGGTTCACCTATCTACTAGGCTTTGAATTTCATGGGTAAATGTTTTGTTTTTAAGTGCATACAAGCATGATTCCGCCTTTAATTGTTAATTGCATGCTATTGATGTTGCTTAAATGAACATGTTTTTCACAAATCTTCCTTCAAGTGGTATCAAGAGCCTAAGTCTAGTAGTTGGTGAATCCTTTTGGGTTTTGTAGTTCATAGTTTGTGATTTGAATGTTGTAATTGTTACAAGCTTTATTCTTGCTTCTTTGAATGTAAATTTTGTTAGAAAATTTGCCATCTCAAATGTTGTAGATGTAGTTCATATGAGCATGAATTTTGGAGCTAAAATTTGGTGCCATGTTTTTGGGGAAATTCGGCCAAATCCAAAGGGTGGAATTTTGGGTTCTTGTTTGACTTGTTAAAAGTGTTTTAAAGTGACTTTTGGAACCCCTATGTACCCTAGTATGGTTGTATGTTATTTCCCTTAAGTTTGAGTGGTTTTGGTATGTTTTTGGGTGAAGAATGTTCATGGAGCTCTTATGGGTTTTCATGAATGTTCTTCATTGTTCTTGATATGTTCTTGCCAAGAACAAAAGGTTTGGTGTTTTGATTCAAAGTTTTGATTTATTTCATAAAGTTTTTGTTTTGAAATATTTCTTATGTTTAAATATATTAGATATTTATTTTGAAAAATTAAAGAAATTTTAGTGGGTTTGGTGTGTAATGATTTATTCCATTACACACACCCCACTTACAAAACTTTGAATTTTTTTTTATAAACTTTGCTTCAATGGCCGGCCACCCTACTCAATTAGGGTCCTTGTGGGGCATTCATGCAATTATATAAAGTTTTGATACTTTTGTGTATTTGCATTTTGACCCAAAAGTTTACGTTTTTACGTAAAGGTCCAAAATCACTAAAAGGACAAATTGTTTTGCTCCTTTAATGAAGTTTTATTTTTTGTGGAAATTTTTGGGTTCTAGTTGTAATTACATGAAGTAGTGGACTTTTGTGTTGTTTACAAAGTGACCCCAAAAGTTTAAGTTTTTGCAAAATAGCCCAAAAGTTGAGGTTAATTGCACTATGGCCCAAACAAGTTGAGGTCATAGCATTTTGGCCCAAATTAGGTAGAGAACAAAATTGTTTTGTCTCTTTAAATGAGAATTGGATTTTCATTTCATTTAGCTCCATTTAAATCAATTCTATGGATACAAAAACCAAATGAAAATGTTGCATTCAAGTTTAATTAGTTAAAGTGTTAATTAATTAAAGAAAGGGTGATTATGAACCTTAGCCTACGATAATTGAGCTATGTGAAAGGCCGTTTCAAATTTGTTTGAACCATGGGAATGTGTAGATTAAATTTTGGTTGTAATTTGATATGATCAATTGTTGTAAAAGAGCATAAGCTCTTCTTTACTTTAAAGTAATTTGATTTGATCAATTGTTGTAAAAGAGCATAAGCTCTTATTTACTTTGAAGTACTCCTTTCTTGTTTTATTCGATATGCATGAAATTGGAGTAGTTGGGTCCAACGCCCAATAAGACAACACGCCTTAATGTGATTAAACGCGTAACTAAAATCAATCTCCATCCCTAGACCGAGATTCAACACTAGGCTCGTGTTTGAATCGAATCAAAGGTTCATAGTCATCCTAAGGCCCTAAGGCAACTATATAGTCCATCAATGAATGCAAATCTTATGTTAGTAGTACCATATAGTCTTGCTTTAAAAACCGTTTTAAAAGCATAGTGGGAGTATTATATACTACTAAATCAATCATATGGACCAATAGTTGTAATAGGACCAAAATGTTTTAATCGGATTAAAATGTATGTTTATATGTGATGAGACCTAAAAACCCTCAACCAAATCAATATTAAGTTGATAAGCGAGAGATGCTTTGAATATCTCTTCGTGGCCTTCCACCGTGGTAGGCTCCAATCGTTTGTGACTTGTACACCGGCTTCACCCTATAATGGGGGAGTACAAAGTGCATGCTTACATTCAGGAGGAGTCTATACGCATATGATGAGGTGAGTGTAGACAACGAGTATGACCAACATGATATAATTCTGAGGTTGTGCTTGAACCTCTACATAAACTAAGCATGGTGGGAATAACTTAACTAAGTGCAATGGTGCCAACATGATATAATTCTGAGGCATTCATTCTCTAGAGGCCAAACTAGATGGGTAATTACAAGAGTTGTAAATGGCTAAAGTGTTATTCTCTCATCATTATTTTTGCTAACCAAAATGATATAATTCTGAGGTGGGCTTGGTAATGGTGAGTCTCCCATACCCCGCTAAGAGTTCAACAAAACTCTCGAATTCCGATGAGGGATATGGAATTTGCCAAAAATAGTGGGTGGTGCTATTTGATTTAAAGACCCGAATCAAATGGCTTAAAATCAATCAGTTTATATACGTTATGTATTTGTTTACCAATATATTTGCAAACGCTATCCAAAACTTGACAAAGAAAAACCGAACGCTTTAATTTCCGGACTTAGTTCTACAATCCCATAGATTGTCTTTAATGGCTTGTAGATGTAACTAAGTAGTCTCATCCTCACAATCTTCCTATTGATAATGTATCATTGGAAGAATATGTTAGATAAGTCTAACATGAGAAGGACAACACTTTTAATGTCATAATTCTTCAAATACAAATTGTTGTATGAAGAAATAAAAGTTGCTTTGAACAACCCTTAATCAACACAAACTTTAGTGCTTGTCTCTTTGTTACACGAACAAGGAACTTGAGAAGTAAGCACAAGGGCATGGACACTTTATGTGCCATGATTCTTCACTTACAAATTGTTGTATGAAGAAATGAGAGTTGCCTTGAACAACTCTTGAGAGTTTGTTGTTATGTTTAGAACATAATGGTTGGTTGACAAAAATAGTCCATTTATATGGACTTATGATGATTTTGAATCATTGAGTGTTGAAGTGTTAAACCACTTAACGAGACGGAAACTAGGCAAGGACTTTACCTTTGTGTCCCTATCCTAATGGTTCACTAAGTTTATTGTAAACTATATAGTGAACAATAACCGCACGCTCTCCAAATCGTTTGATGTGTATAACACATTT